GTTAAAACACAGAATTTATGACCTTGACCTTTTGACCTCAAAATAAATAGGGTTCTTCTTTAAGCCATAGGGAGTTGCTATGCAAATTTCATTGCGAAAGCTCAAAGGGTTCTCGAGATATTGCGTGGAAACGAAAGTGTTACAGACAGACAGAAATACAGACGGACGGACAGACAGACCCAAATTAATATCCCCCACTTTCCGTGAAAGCGGGGGACAATAATACGTACTTGTATTATACTAGAAATTTCACCGTATGTACCGGCCTGAACAACTTCAAAATATTGAAGAATTTTGCGAAAATTTTATTAGGGTCTTAAAGTTTACCTTGTCTTCTTTCTCTAAATTGTGTTTTTCGTTTAGTATTTTGAAGGAAATTCTGGTATTACCAGTGCAAATCAGGTGCACGATTAGTAGGTAGCTGTGCTAGCTCATGTCGCCTCTGTATTATGGTCTACAGGCATCTACAGACACATCCTTGAACACTAGTATCATACCTTACAATATTTGGATTACCGAAATGAAACAGATATTGAAGACATAAGCGAGTGATTATCGACATAGTAACGTTAACGTTGTGGAATTTTCGTTGACCATGGTTTTTAATATCATATATACTTGTACCGTCAATAAAATGTTAATTTAAATTACAGATAGTTTGTAATTTTGGAATTTTCATGTTAACCCAGCGAATCAGATTTTTAGTTAAAATTTTATATTTCATTTCCGAATGTTATTTATCTATACATGCATATAATAAAATATGTATCAACGTGAGTACTACATACATGTACATGTATACTTTGTTTCACTACACATGTTTGTATTACTACGTACAAGTACAGTGAATTACGATTAAATGTAGTGAGACATGGAAGTCATGTAAGTGTGAATATTTCCTACAACATACATTCATTCTTTGAATTGAAAAGCATTCAGCATATAAAACGAAAAATGATAAAGCTAAAGAAAACAAGAGGCCCAAGGGCCTTGAATCGCTCTTCTGATAAATTGTACAAGCAGTATTACTTCTATTTGAAGCCTCTAAGTATCCTGTATATTTAGATAAAGCCTTGAAATTCCAAAAGTAGGTCATCATGATCTACATTTTAGATAAAACACTCTGAGAACCCAAGATGATTCTAAGCCAGTTAGTACCTGAGAGTAGGTCATGGTGACCTACTTATCACTTGTCATTCTCCGGTGACACAAGATGCATCAACTAAGTTTGATAATTCTAAGCCAAATAGTACCTGAAATATTAATATAAAGCCATTAAATTTCAAAAGTAGGTCATGTTGACCTAGCGCTACTTTTCAGTTGACATACTCCGAGGACCCAAGACCAAAGCAACAACTGACAAATTTTAATGATTCTAAGCCAAATAGTACCCGAAAATATTAAATAGTCATAAAAATTCAAAAGTAGGTCAAGGTGACCTCCTTTTCAGTTGTCGCACTCCAAGGACCCAAGATGCATCAACTGACAAAGTTTGATGATTCTAAGCCAATTAGTACCTGAAATATTCAATTAAAGCCATAGATTTTCAAAAGTAGGTCACGGTGACCTACTTTTCAGTCGACTTACTCCGAAGACCCAAGATGCATCTATTGACAAAGTTTGAAGATTCTAAGCCAATTAGTATCCGAAATATTTAATTATAGTCAAATAAATTAAAAAGTAGGTCGCGGTGACCTACTTTTCAGTCGACCTACTCTGAAGACCCAAGATACATCAACTGAAAAACTTTGATGATTCTAAGCCAAATAGTACCCTAAATATTTAAATATAACTATAAATTTCAAAAGTAGGTCACGGTGACCTACTTTTCAGTTGACGGTTTTCGAGGACCCAAGATGCATCAACTTACAAAGTTTTATGATCATAGGCCTTAAATTGTTCAAAATATGCCTCTAAATCATTTTGAAAAATGAATGGCCTCAAAATTTAAAAAGAAGGTCATACTGTTAGAATCAATCTGGAAATAATGAGCAAATGTTTACATTCCACTTCAATGCGATTTAAATGTCTCCGCCCATTTGCGGGTACCTTAAATTCGAAAGTGGCCCAGTTCAAATTTCCGGAATTTAAGGCGTATACATGTTCTTTTCAATGACGTTGTGTTGAATTATAAAAATAGGTATTACAAAAAATTCGAAGTATAAATATCAAAAGCATATGTATGCACAATAATCATAGATTAATTTAGCAATATAGTCTGATTCAAGGCCTTAAATGGGTGGCCGAAAAGTTTCAAATGGCACTCTAAAGTCACTCATTCTTTCCTAACAAAAAATTGTATGTCCGTCCGTCTGTATTTCTGTCTGTCTGTAACGCTTTTGTTTCCGCGCGATATCCCGAGAACCCTTTGAGCTTTCGCAATGAAATTTTCCATAGCAACTCCCTATGGCCTAAAGAAGAACCCTATTTATTTTAAGTTCAAAGGGTCAAAGGTCAAGGTCATAAATTCTGTCTGTTTTAATACTTTCGTTTCCACGCGATATCTCGAGAATCCTTTGAGCTTTTGCAATGAAATTTTATACCGTAACTCCCTAGGGCCTCTCTCACCCCTCTCAAAGTGTCCCGCCCCGTTTTTTAATTATTATTTTCATGTATTGTATTAAAATTCACATGGCACTATTTTTAGCACAGGGGCTTGTGGAGAGTTATTACGTATAATACAGGTTGTCGGCGGACATTATATTCTTATTACATCTATTAGAACTGTTTAGTAGAGGCTAAATTAGACACCATGTATTGATTAAAATTTTGACAGTATCAAACGTCAATATAAACATTATTTGTGAGTTAATGTTTGCATTTAATTTAAAGTATAACGAAGTGCCTCCGTGGTCTAGTGGTATGTTGCTCGCTTTTCAATCCCCCGACGATTTTCTTTTTAATTTTTTTTTTTTGATTTTATTAAATGATACTATTCAACATGTGAAATGAAAAAGTTATGATGTCTGGCGTGTACAAACTCATAAAATCATTATTACAGTGTGATAAATATTCTGTATATTAAAAATAATATTCTATACACATATTAAAGAATAAGCAATGAAATCTTTATATTCACATTGGCATTTCTTAAAATTTCCTTCAATATACATTTAATAATTCTACAAATACAGGGGGCAGTGTGACCCCCCCCCCCCCGAACTGCGCATGCTCTTCCTTCTTTTCCCTAAGCGGGGGACACAAATTCTCTGAATTAGCTTGTTATTTTTTAAGACAGTTTGAAAACAGTTCAAAAATCACAAGATAATGATAAGTATGAACATTTTTCTATAATGAAGAGATAAGGAACAAGATATTTTTGACAAGTAAATGTACTTTCAAAACCATCCTTTGCAACATTTAAACTTCATGCTAAATATTTAACTCATTTTTGTCCCCCGCTTTCACTGAAAGTGGGGGATATTAATTTGGGTCTGTCTGTCCGTCCGTCCGTCTGTATTTCTGTCTGTCTGTAACACTTTCGTTTCCGCGCGATATCTCGAGAACTCTTTGAGCTTTTGCAATGAAATTTTACATAACAACTCCCTGTGGCCTAAGGAAGACCTCTATCGAGGCACTACTGCACAATTTATGTAGGTCCCTTTTATCAACATTTTGCATAGGAAATGAATTGAGAATTGTAAAATCATTGATTTAACGAAATCTAAAAAAGAAGGTTGGCTTAATAGATTAAACTAACAAGAATATAACTTGTTTAATACCATTAAACCTACTGAAGAGTTCTTAAAAAATTCTATACGTTAAGATAGTCTTCTAGTATTCATAATGATGTATTTTTGTAATTATTTTACCAGTTTTCTTTTACATGGTTATCCTTCCGAAAAGTTATTCATGTTATTCGAAACACCACTTTTTTAGAAATTCATCCGCAACAATTATCACGTTTTTCTTGTGTGAAAATAAACAAAGTATCTGTTTTCAACACTATAATTATAGATATAATTAATGCAATTGTATTTTCAAGTTATTATTCATTGTCAGCATTTTCAAAGAAATTGATATACTGCTAATGCTATTTTCTTTTGCGGATAGATCGACTGGCACCTTTGGTAGAATTAATTCTGGTGGGAGATTCAGATGGGATGCTCCTAAGTATAACTTTCAAGCTCTGCTCAATGCCAGAAAAAAATGTTATAGAAAAAAAAAAAGGTTGTATTCAGAATTTCAAAAGAATTCACCTATAGGAGAGAACAATTTCCCAGAAAAGGTCATATTTAAAATTCAATATTCATGAGTAATTTTCTACCGTTTACATTTCTGAATATTTTTAATATTTGCATTTTGAACCTAAAATTTATTATTTGCAACTTTAAAATATCACCCCAAGTTGGCTAAAACAGCATTTTCTCCATTGAAGCACCGATTTTTGCACAAATTTTGGCTTAGAAGCCTGTTTTTGACAACCTGGTTCACATTTATACCATTTCTTTTCATTGCCTGAATAGTATATCCGCTGACTATTAACACCACAGGTACCACTTCAGTCGTGATTCGAATTCATCTGGTCCCACTTTTATAATTTTAAATTTCTTAGACTATTTTATTTTTTTTATAGTAGCTTTTGTATTTTCCTTCAATTATTTATCTCTTATGCATGTTTACTTTTGATATACAGACATCAAAGAGAAAGCAAAATGTAAATTCCATTGTCACTTAAACACACTCAAACGGAACTATACTTCAGTATAGCACACTTTTTGCGAGGACAAGAATTACTTGATACAGGTATTCTCATCTGCAATGAGCTGCGATGGATTTCTACTGTATGTATATTCCTCAGAATTAAATCAATTCAGTGTATAACATTGCTTTTATTCCTTCTGTACTACTAGTACTTGTCTGGGTTATTGCACTGTAAAGTATCATGCGTATTGCTTGTATTATTTAAGCTTAATATACATGTATTTCGGAATTTTTTAATGGCTACCCCTGTTCTTGGGTTGATTCATAAAAAAACCTACAAAAAATAAGGAAACCTGTTTTTGACAACTTGGTTCACATTTATACCATCTATTTTCACTGCCAAAGAAATTACATACATGTATTTTTGTACTGAGTCAATGTTACATTCAGATCTCAAGTTTTGAAACATATCAGTAAATGCACTTCCTTTGGATTTCATTTATATAATTTTTATACATTAATGGCATGTTTTATTACATCCACGGAAATGTGTTCTAAAATAAACACACATAGAGAAGAATTAAGCTACAGGCATTACCACTATGTACATTTATAATGAAAAGTGAGGAAAAATATCAAATAATATTTCAAGATAAAAATCTCAAAATGTGTTGACAATATCATGCTACATAGTTATTGCCTATGAAAAGGTTCCTCCTAGATCTACATACTGAAATAAAATGATTTATAAAAAACGAATTAGTACATATATGTAACCTAAAGCCATTGACCAGACAGAAACGACAATGTTTTTGAAGACTAAAACAATAGGTCAGCACTCTGTTTATACTGAAGTGTTCCTTTTGCTTGTTCAAAGCTGCACTTTATTTCCCCTAGGGGAAAAAAAGCCAAAAAAAGGCACATTTTGTCATTTTGAATGGATGCAAAAATATCGTCATTCCTGACGTCATTTACGGTCAGCAAGTGCATATTATGTGAGACAAATGTATTGACATTGATTTCTATAATAAACTCTACTACAAAATAAAACAACAATTTAACATGCCTGAATAACTTTTAAAAATGTTGATTTGTGGAGTCAAAATTGACTCTGTATAGTCCTTTGTAGCACAGGTTCTATTAATGCTAAAACACATAATTATCATGAAATTACCCTATCAAACCAGCCTTTTTTTCCCCCTTTCTCCCCAAATTTTACTTTTATATCTATACTGAAATCCAGTGCAAAAACTTATTAAAACAATCCACCCTAATAAATAAAATAAATAAATAAGTAAAAAATGAAATAAACAAGAGGCCCAAGGGCCTTAACGGTCAACTGAGTATAATAACAAATTTAGAGTATCAAATTAACTGATAGATGAAGTTTTGTTGCCCAAAAGTATGATAAATAGGATGATCAGGATCAACGAAGTAATTAGTCTAACATTCAGTTACAACTCATAAATTAAGTTCTAATCTGTCCCCTATTCATCACTGTCACCATGCAGACTATTAACAAACTATTAGTGCTTCTCTACTATTTGTAACCCCATATCATAATGTCTCAATTAGCCTCTCTTGTTCTTTGAAGAACAATCAATAAGATGTTATTTTTGTCTCAATTTTACTCATTACAATCATGCTTACAGTTTGAGTGCTTGATGTTCAGGAGTAGAGGATAAGATTTTTATAGATTGCATTAATTTTGGTGGTTTTGATCCCACCCCTCAGGCCCCGGGGGGGGGGGGGAGGGGGGCAGGGACCATCAAGTTTACAATTCTTGTTCCCCTTCACATAGAGATGCTACAGTAAAACGCGGTTATAGGAAAGTACTGGGGACCTGCAAAATTACTTCGCTATATCAGTAATTCGTAATGATTTTCCCTATGTATTCCTTTGTAAAATTTATTACCCACTGTGGCCCTACCTCACCCTCCAGGGGTCATCAATGCTACCTGAGGATGCTATCAAATAGATATGACTAATCATGACTCTGCTCTTCCTGGGAAAAAGATTTTTTAAGATTTTCCTATGTATTCCTATGTAAAACTTTAATCACTCATAGTGGCCCCACTCTATCCCAAACAAACCTGAAAATACACTACCTGTGGATGCTTCTATATAAATATGACTGATCACAGCTTTGCTGTTCTTGAGTAGAACATTTTTAAAGATATTTCCTATTTATAACCATGTTCTTGAGAAGAAGATTTTTAAAGAGTTTTCCTATCTATAACCATGTTAATCTTTGATCGCCCATAGTGGCCCCACCCTAGCCCCTGGGGTCATGATTTGAACAAACTTAAATCTACACTAGGCCAGGAAGCTTTCTTGTAAGTTTCATTTTTCCTGTCCCAGTAGTTCTCAATCAGTAGTTTCTTAATCATATCCCCATATAAGAGGGTGTGGCCCTTCATTTGAATAAAATTGAATCTCCTTTACCCAAGGATACTCTGTGCCAAGTTTGGCCCAATTGTCTTTTCTTGATTATCTCCTCTTGGAAGGGGGCTCCCCTTCACCCAAGGATGCTTTGTACGAACTTAAAATTGGCCCAGTGGTTATGTAGAAGAAGTTGAAAATGTGAAAAGTTATCAGATGGACGGACAGACGGACTATGGGTGATCAGAAAAGGTCACTTGATCTTTCAGCTCAGGTGAGCTAAAAACTCGACTTCCCCCAAAATTTGGGTATCATATGATATTAATATGACTAATCTTGACCCTGTTGTTTCTCAGATTTATTAAGATGATTACAGGTACATATATTCCCATTGAAAAATTTGATCCCCTATTGTGGCCCTTACCCTATCTTGGGGGAGGTGGGGGGGGGGGGAGGGTAGGGATGATTTCAACAAACTTGAATATGCACTACTTGAGGTTGCTTGCATTATTTCTTTATCAAGATAGATCGACAGACAGATGCTAGACTCATTTAATCAAAAAAGCTCACTTGAAGGTTTAGCTCAGTTGAGCCAATGAATATGATTTAATGTCCCACAACAAAGATAGAGTTAGAATAGTAATTATTATATAATGTTTCCATGCAGTGCCCAGTTCATTTAGAAAATGTCAGCAATTATAGGAATGAGCTAGGATTGGCTCGTGGATCTTTCTGGTTTCTATATCGAACTGTTATCCAGACACCCAGAATCTGTAAATAAAACATATGAAAGTATGAAAAATGTGAAAGGGAATAACATTAATGTCATGCTGACTTGATAAGCTAACCTGAACTAGAAATCTGACCAGTCAGCCAGGGCCCCACCGAGGGTTAGAAATATAAGGGTGCAGATTAGGGAATGAGAATTTTATTTGATTACAAATTTTTAAAATTAAAAAATATATAAAGAAGAACTAGAACTGTCCAAAAGGGGACAAATACCCCCCGCTGGGTTTTTCAGAGAAGGTACCAAATCACTAATGTTTTCTAGATGAGAGAGGTGTTCACAATTTGCTTAAACATTTAGAGTGAAAATTTAATTACTCATTATATTTTTTTAATGAATGAAACTAAGGTGCAGCCTAATAAAACATTAATACTAATAATTACAGTGTTTTTTTTAATTACACTGAAAAAAATAGATTGCAACTACAGTCCCTGAAATGTTCTACTTTCCCACTTGAACGGTGAGCGAATGCTGAACGAACGCTGAACGAACGGTGAGTGAACGATGTGTGAACGCTGAACGCAACTTGGTGAATGATGTGTGAACGGTGAGCGAAGGCAGAATGCGAACGGAGCGCAAACGCGAGCGCAAAGTGAACGGTGAACGAACGGTGAACGCAAGATGAACGATTTATTCGGAATCCTCTGATCTTTTTTCTTGCATTGAAACTATTCTATTGTATTCTAATGCCTGGTGCTTAAAAAAAAAAAAATAAATAATGAATAAATAATCAAATCAATGAAAATTGTCCTAAGAAAGACGATACATACACATTAAGTAAAATTATTAATTTAAGTTTCTTACAATATTTTCTGCACATATGTACAATGTTTAAATTCAACTTTTTGATAACACGATTTTTATCGCTGTAAAACATTGTAATTGTTACCGAACGCTGTAGTATAACAGATGAAATTAATCTAGTTGTAAAATAAATATGTCTATTCTTATTTGATATATAAAACCATTACAAATAATGTGGATTTTAGAAGAGGACTTACAGAATGAATTACAACGGTTGTAGCAACCATACAAGGCGATTCCGTGTAAAATAATGAGAAAAAATATTTTACAATGGTATGTGCATGTATTGCATAAATACACTCGTATTTTAAAATTTTAATGCAATAATATATTTATGTGTCAGTTTTATTTTTTATGTTGATTTATTGAGCAGACTTCTACATGTATCTGTAGACATTTCCTGGCCGTGATTATACTCGGACAAGATGATACAAAGAGGCAATCATATTATTTGTTATATATTAAATTTTCACAACTTGATATTTAAGTAATATGCTGTCATAGTTTTTATTAAACAGACAAATGAGAGAGAGAGAGAGATTCGGTTTTAGCCCCCCCCCCCTTCCTCAAATGTTTGTACCTATATCAAACAAAAATTCTAATTTTTTTCTAAATATATCAGGCAGTGAAAGTAACCATTTTTTTAATCAACAAATCCATTTGTTTTACAGTCATAATCGGTTTTTGTTTTCCTGCTTCAAGTTCACACGAAGTCCACGTGCTTGACCTGTCAATCAAAATCATTTTACACTGTGCAGGTGTGAAAGTCTCATCACACCGAAGGCAAAGCGTTAGTATTTCCAAGAAGTTTTAACATTTTTTCTTATCATTTCTAGATCTGATTCCAACATTTCTAAAAAAATAAATAGATAAATAAATAAAACACATTGGGAATAAATACTTGGAATAATCAAGCCGCTTGAATTTGAAACATACTCCCTGCCAATTTAAAATATCACGGCCGGCACATGTATATTTTGAACTACTATTGTTTAATGACTTTGTTTAGATGCATGTTTGTTTTGAGACTGAAATTTTTGTGCTACAAAACACATTAACTTCTTTTTAAATGTTAATTTAAATAACTAAGTAACCGATTTAGGGGAAAGGGGGGGGGGGGCTCTCAATAATAATGACTTAAAAAATGGGTCCCATGTTTATAATATTTAGAGAAGATAATACAGATAGTAAAGTGAAGTTAGTGAACAGAATTAGTCTGAAAGGCCTATTGCTAATTGAGATCATGGTAATAGTCAGGGAAAATAATTGCATTTCATGAACATTTCAGCGGTCAATATGACTAAAAAAAAAATGAAGAATTGATGTCCTACCTACAAACTTGATGTACCTGGTCATGCGGTTTAAAATGCTGTTTGTAAAAATATGCTGAAGGACAGTTGACCAATTATATTCTTATTTAAAAAAAATATTGAGGACCCTTGTTCATGAGCTTGTACACTGCACACATTTATTTGTTTTGTTTGAAAGAAAAAAATAGGGAATTAAATAAATGTACATGTACTTGCATTGTGCAAAATATTTTTTTTGAATCATAGCATTGTGTTACAGTTTCATAAATATTAATAAGCACTTTTTATTTTTACATTAATTTCAGATAAAGGAAGAAAGATGTTTTAGAGAAAGATGATCCCCAAAACAATATAGAGCCTTTAGAGGTGATAGAGATAATGGGGGATTGATGTGCATTCCAGCTAGAAAACTGATTGCACATTAAAAAAAATATTTTCATTACTTGTGGCTTTAGATGTTTACAAAAAGTAAATGAATACCAGGTAATGATATCTATATTAATGATGTAGCTGTTTTGATGGTATGAAAGATGAAGTAGAATTTAAAGTTGTTTTGCTATAGAATATGATACAGACTTTTAATTGTACAGTGAAACCTGTCTTATCCGACATGCTGCAGGAAATAAAATCAATGTCGGATTAGACAGTGTGTCGGATTACCCAGTGTTGAATATTTCTTAGCATTATGATTGGTGTCAAATGACTTCAAAAACCTTTTTTTCATTAGGTTTAGAGTACACGTGTATTTAATTGTCAAAATGTTTGCATAATTGTGTGTTTCTTTGTTGTATAAAATATACCTTCATTAATTAGCATTTCTTTGAGCATTAGTAAACTCTGTAGTAATGTACGATGTTTGTTTTTTAATTGACAAAACAGATGGAACTGACGATCGCTTCGAGATGTTGCAATTTAATTTTTAGCATTTTACTAAAGCAGTAGATGATTAAGTAAATATTTCGTTTACATGTACCTTCTTTACACAGTGGTATTATTTTTTTTTCTACACTACATTTCTCTCCGAATTTTCTCCACCGTTTACTTCTCAACATAGACTGTGCTATTAATACCGTCACGCGACTTTTCATACAAACCGGACGTAACTCTAAAACATTGTGATTTTTATCAAACAATCATAATATTTTAAAATTTAATGGGCAACTTAAAGCGGTATTTTTGCTTCCGGCAAATCCTTTATGTGCACAGCCTTGCTTAATTCAGTGTATATATATACAAACCGGACGTAACTCTAAAACATTGTGATTTTTATCAAACAATCGTAATATTTTAAAAATTAATGGGCAACTAAAAGCGGTATTTTTGCTTCTGGCAAATCCTTTATGTGCACAGCCTTGCTTAATTCAGTGTATATTAACCCTGAAATGAAACTTTTTCTTTTAGACAAGATGTACCATTCAACTTGTGTATTGTCTATGTTACGTTCGCTGTACTCTTTTTTTTTCGGGACATGACTTTATGAAGGACTGACTGCATGTTTGATTTTAATTTCTAGCTAAAAATCTTAATGTAATCAAAATATCATGTACTCTTTTTATTTTCTATCGCGTGGATGCTATTTCTTAAATGCGAGAATAAAACTGATAACAACAAAGAGAATTGATTGCCTATTTTTTTAATTAAAAAACTGAGCTTTTAACGCTTACATAAACACTTTCAAACTTACAATTAATTAACTACTCTCTAAGTAGACCAATCTTGTGGCCAAACGGGACATTCACGTCACCTGGCCTGCGGCTAATTACGGAACACCCGTGTAATTATGTCGGATTACCCAGGTGAAATCATAATGTAATTATCTAGTTTTGATGACTTCGGAATGTACAGTGTTTTGTTCTATATAAAATTTAAAGAAATTTTTGGGAATAAAATATGAGGTCGGAAAGTCCATTGTGCCAGATTGCACAGTTGTCGGATTGGACAGTGGGCACTGTACTGCTGTTTTGTAAATGTTAAAATTCAAGAGAGTTGACATTGACATAATATATGGTGTTAAACACTGTTAAAGGAATGTCTATTTCACATGTAAATTGAATACCTATGTGTGATTTATTATCTCAACAGGTTTTCTGAAAGCTGCCAAAGGAACAGTCAGAATGGATTTCTTATCAATCAGCAGTCAAAATGTACAACCTTAGTAAACTCTCAGCAGTATGTTCCTTTTGATCCAGATGCACTGATAAATAACCTTGATGTCGAAACCATCAGGCTGGGTATGTATAAATAATAAATAAATTTCAACATTTCTGACAACAAAATAAAAATCATAAATAAACTTTTGACCTCCTCATCTATGTTATGATGTACTGAATGCTGAAGCTTCACACACATTTTATAAACAAAATTCATGTGCTGTGTAAAAATTCCTTCCTTCAATATGTTTAAAACTATTTTTATTACAATTGTTTAATACTATTTTTATTACAAAAATTATTATGAAAATAAAAATGATAACTCAGTACTGAGTAACTTTATAATAGATGTTACATGATTACATGTATTAGTATAATCCTTGTCCACCTGTCAGTAAGGCTATACCTGAAGAATTTTTTTTTCAGGCTAAGGATCATATGGATTTTTGTTTCCACCACTTGCCACCAACGATTGAACTGTTTTCTCTAGCTGCTACAAAAGACCTACATGTTCCTCAGAATTTTACCAATTGAAAGCCACAGTAAGTCAAAAGATTCAAGTTGGAAAAAAAGAAAAGGAAAGAAACATTCATGTTAGAGATCACATAAAAAAAGCTAGTTTAATTGGAATATGAAAAAAACTGCACAGAACCTCCCTTGAGATCAAAAACCATTCTGTATGAACAGAACTGCAGCATAATTTATATACTCTTTTGAGATACTTATATACTAATGTCTGTTTTTTTTTCCATATGGTGTGTCCTTTTATGCTATTTTCAGCTAGAGCTTGCAAAAGTTAGCACTGATATTGTCATTTTTCTCTTGCTTTTTCTATTTTTTTTTAACTTTAAAAAATATTTTTTTTGTGTTCATACATATTCATATATATATATAGCATTATGTTCAATATTCCTGCATATTTTGAATTTCAGGAAAGATTAGTCCGGGGATTTTTTTTTTTTTTTTTTTTTTTTTTGTAATTTAGGCAAATATTGTACATCATAAGTTTGTTATTTAAAAAAAGTCAGAGGAAATTCAGATGAGTAATGTGCACTTTTTTTCACCTTAACTGTGTATACATGCCAGGATTATTTTCTAAATTAGGTATACATATCACACCTTAAAAAATTATAAATATATATATCATGATATAAGGTGATCTGTTTTATTCACCAACAATCAATTTGAAAGTTTTAAGTTTTGAAAAAAAAAAAAAACATAGGAAATTTGGAATGTAAATTTCAAAATTCTTGAAATTTTACATTTATTGTCCTTCAAAAGTTTGTTTTCAAGTTTGTTTTCAACATAATTGACTAATTGAATTGAAAATTGATTACTTTTGATTGATTTTGTAGCCTCCATTGCAGACATGTGCTTCAGGGTAATTTTTAAAAAAAGGTCAGAGAAAATTCGGATTAGCATATCTTTTTATCTGATTTATGAACATACCAATTATTCCCCTTTGTTACTTAGCTATACATGTCATTTTTAAAATGGAGTAAAAAAAATAAATATCCAGTTACTTTAAGTGTGATTTCATAACCGTTTTTGTTGTCAAGGTGAAGAAAAAATGGACAATTTTTAAGAAGACAGAGGAAATTCAGACTGCCTTAGAGTGCTGTTTGAATGTTATATCTATGTACAAAGAATGACAAAATTAAGTTAATCTGCTACCCTATTATATATTTCCAAGTAAATGAATTCTGATAATAATTTTTGAGTTTTTTGTTATTTTCTTTAATGGCAATGGGTTTTTTTCCCCCCAGCTTTTCCAATTTTAAACAAGGGCATATTCAGAGGTTGTTGCCATGGAAACAAACGCATTAGCATATATCAAATTTGATGATTCCTAAACCACAAACTTGTCCTCTATCTGAGGGTACCTATCTTTTAATATTCCAATTACTTTCACGACAGGTTCGAATCACCTTAAACAATTTTTAATCTTCACATATCCTCATCCTTTTGTGTAAGTTTGGTGATAATCTGCCCAGTGGTTCTTGAGAAGAAGATTTTTAAGCAACCAGTACTTTTGTTTCCATTTTCCTAATTATCCCCCCTTTTTTAAGGGTCACAACCCTAGTTTTAGTATAAACGGAAGCCCTTGGGCCAAGGATACCTGACAAATTTGACAATAATTGGCCAAGGGGTTCTTGAGTTATGGCCCATACTCTAAAAAGTTTATGCACACAGCACAAATGGCCATAGCATTAGCTCTTTGAGCCTTTGGCTCAGAAGAGCTAAAAAGCAGAAACATAGGTAATCAAAGATTAGAAGCTCACCTCAACGAATGTTATCTTTAAGTAAGGCAAATTTCACATCATATTTTTTTTTTAATTTAGTGTACATCCCAAGATCAATGTCCATGCAAGTTTGGTTTAAGTACAACTTATAGTTACTTGGAAATAGACCTGTTCAAAAAATGTTTATCCTGTTTACTAATTAAGAAAATTTTGGTCAGTTCCAACATCCAAAGTAAGTCTGGAAGTTTTCATCCATAGATGCACCATCTATGCAAGTTTAATCATAACAGGCCATAATGTTATATAGCTACTCCCAAAAAATTATCCTGGTCACTCATCTGGAAAATGTAGGTCAGATTCAGAATCCAAAGCAAGTCTGGAAGTGACCATCCCTAGCTACATCATCCATGATAATTTGGTTAAAATATGGCTAAAATTCACTCATGTGGAAAATCTAGGTCAAATCCAGCATCCGAAGCAAGTGTGGTAGTGTCCATCCCTAGATGCATCATCCATGCAAGTTTGTTCAAGGTAGAGCTTATAGTTACTTGGGAATGGACCTGCTCCAAAAACTTTAACCTGCTCACTCATCTGGAAAATCTAGGTCAGATCCAGCATCCGAAGCAAGTGTGGTAGTGTCCATCCCTAGATGCATCATCCATGCAAGTTTGGTCCAGGTAGGCTTAATAGTTAATTGGGAATGGACCTGCTCCAAAAACTTTAACCTGCTCACTCAACTGGAAAATCTAGGTCGGATCCAGCATCCGAAGCAAGTGTGGTAGTGTCCATCCCTAGATGCATCATCCATGCAAGTTTGGTCAAGGTAGGATTTATAGTTACTTGGGAATGGACCTGCTCCAAAAACTTTAACCTGCTCACTCATCTGGAAAATCTAGGTCAGATCCAGCATCCGAAGCAAGTGTGGTAGTGTCCATCCCTAGATGCATCATCCATGCAAGTTTGGTCAAGGTAGGGTTTATAGTTACTCGGGAATGGACCTGCTCCAAAAACTTTAACCTGGTCTCTCAACTGGAAAATCTAGGTCAGATCCAGCATCCGAAGCAAGTGTGGTAGTGTCCATCCCAAGATGCATCATCCATGCAAGTTGGGTCCAGGTAGGGTTTATAGTTACTTGTGAATGGACTTGCTCCTAAAACTCTAACCGGGACGCCGACACTAACGCCGACACCGACGCCAGGGGCATAGCATAAGCTCATCTCGACTTCGTCGAGGTGAGGCTAAAAATGCAAAAAAAAAGTCTTCTCCCAGCAGGGATTGAACTCAAAACCTTTGGTTTGTAAGGCAGGTGTGCTAACCACTAGACCACGTATTCCGATAAAGATGGGGGTAGTAAATTAATTGTTTAGGAATAAATAGGAATAAAAACACGTGTTCTTTTGTTTGTTATGGAATGTAGTAACCAGTATTGAATAGATTGAGAAACACGATTGGTGTATAATACAAATGCAGATTTCGTTAAAAATTTGAGTTTGTCTATACTTGGAATGCATCGAGTTAATCATTCAGAGCCTATGATGCATTAGAATTGCAGTGTCGAGACTTTGTTTACAAATATATGGGTCGGATGTGACTGAATATCCTGAAATAATAGGGAAGATTAAAATAAGCATCTCTGTGTGGATTGAATAAAATGGAAGTAGCATAAATTAAAATTTCAGATATGCTTTTTAGGAAGAAAATGGTGTCAGTGACAGCGTGAAAATTTAATTGCTAGGAAAATATCGCTGTTTTTCGACATTCATTCAATTAATATTAATTCTAAATAAAATTGAAATAAATTACACTTACTAGAAAAAGCAAGAATGCTTGGTATTAAAATATCATATCATATCAAGAGAATCGACTGCTATTCATAACAACTGCAGAAATAACCGAGAAAACCTTTAATTAATTTTTATGTTCATCGGCACCTAAATTTTAGATACGAAAAAAGAAGTAGTGTTTGCCTTTAACATTCGTAATTTCTATAAACTTTAGAGATTCACCGTCAAACTTTCAGAAAACATTCTTTCAGGTGTCTTCTGCAGAACCCCCAAATTTTATGTCGATCAGAGGTGTTGAATTAGTTTTAGAGAAATATTCTAAGCTGATATGTTTTATTTATTTTTTTTTTTTTTAAAGAGGAGTAAATTAATTATTGATTCTGACCTTTTGGTCAAAGGTCAAGGTCATCAAAGGTCAAGGTCAAAGTCAACGATCAAGGTCAGAGGTTTCTATCTTTCTTTTACTTCATCATGACCGAAATTACTCCAAACAAATAAAATGTTCATTCTACACCTAAATTATTCACAACTGATCATCCCTAAAAGTTTCCATGAAAAACTACTCATGTTTGAGACAACTTCCGGTTTTCAGGCCGGCACTTCCAGTGAAAATAATTTGCAGGGTAAACGTTATAGTCTATCTAACATCTGCATTAGCCAAACATTTCTGTAAAAAGAAAAAAAAACTTTGAAAATTAACTTTTTTGCATCGCTTCCGGTCACGACCGAAAGTGACGGCGTCGTATGATTTTGACATGATTTAGAAAAACTGGTGACTGACTATTAGTCCTAAAAGTTTTAGACTTCAGTCGTTTACTGGTGCTGAGCAATTAGGTAAACAAAATCTCATTTTGAGGGCAGGAAAATACATGACCGGAAGTTTAGTGAATTTTACTAAAGTCACTCTAGACATCTGCAGTCCCAATAACATATATATATAAAGTGCCCCGCCACAGCATGATACGCCTGTCAAATATTGTTCAATTGTCATAAACAGTTTAGAGTGCAAGAAAATCATGTCAACCTTGATACAAGGATTTCAAGGATTTTTCCATACCTTATAATATTTGTTTATACATCTCCTGTGGTGCAGGCATTAATTATAACAAACATTACATTATCGATCCTCAACTTGTTGTGTTAGAGCTTGACAAATGCCCATCTGCATCCCCCCCCCCCCCCCCCCCCAAGCTTTCAGATTTGTGAGACATGATGCTCTGAGTAAGTTGATTTTTTCAAAAAATAAAAATATCATATTAAACAATATCAATTTAGTCTTAACAACCTAATCTATATCAAATTAATATCAAAAATAAAAGACTGGCCATCAAATGACATATGCTATAAACTGACAAGCAGTTCTTCTGTCTAATTCCCAAAGGATACAGAAAAGAGCTGCTTGATCAGAGACCCTCTAAAAGAAATAATTGAGACTGCTACAGTCCCTGAAACATTCTACTTTCCCATTTTTCCGTTCGCTCACCGTTCGTTCACCGTTCGTTCAGCGTGCGTTCACCGTTCGTTCAGCGTGCGTTCACCGTTCGCTCTCCATTCACAGTTTTGCGTTCACCGTTCACCGTGCGCTCGCGTTCACCGTTCACAAAGCGTTCAGCGTTCGCTCTTCGTTCCGTTCACTTTGCGTTCACCTTGCATTCAGCGTTCACCTATCGTTCAGTTTTCATTGTCATTCGGAACTCCGAAGTGAAAGGACTTATCTTTTTGTAGTTAAGGAGTTACATGTACAGGTTTTTTTAATTTATTAACTAACATATCGTGTTTGAAAAATCATTATTTCATGAGGAAAAATATCTAAGATATATATTTTTATTATTCTAACTTAGTTGCATGTTAAGTTATTTGTAAAATTACTCTGGAAAATAATGTTGTTATAAGCACATTCTGTACCTATGTAGAACAATGCTGAAATATTAAATTTAACTAAGGGCAATGTGCAAATACTTCAAGCACTGCAACATTTTGTTGTTTTGTTAAAGACGATAAATCTTAATGGAGATATAATTATTCAAGTCAAATAATTACGCAGCAAAATTACGAAAATATTTATTTCTATTACGTTTTTTTTTTCAATTACTTCAGAAAATATAATAGAACTAGTTCTGAGAGTTATACATAGTACTGCGGATATCCTGTTAATTTATTATCTTTAGAACGAATTAAATGATAGTGTGGTTAATTGAAATATTTATTTAAAATGTAATGCACTACAGAATTTCTCTACTGTAATATGTAAAGTCTATAGTTATAGAGAAAAAAAAATCTTTCTTCACCGTAACTTTATATGTTTGCCATTCGATATGATTAATAACCCCCCCCCCTTTCCCCCTAAATCGGTGACTTAGTCAGTACCGTATTTCCAGAATATTTTAATTAACATTTTAAAAAAAAAGCTACGGTCTTTTTTAGAACAAAAATTTCAGTCTCAAAACAAACATGCATCTAAAAAAGTCACAAAACAATAGTAGATCAAAATGTACACGTGTCGGCGGTGGTATTTGAAATTGGCAGAGAGTATGTTTCACATTCAAGTGTTAATGCCCAATGTATTTTACTAATTTATTATTCAAATGTTGGAATCAAATCTAGAAATGATAAAAATAAATGTTATAACTTGTTGGAAATACTCACACTTCGTCTTCGATGTGACGAAACTTTCACACCAGCACAGTTTCGAATGATTTTGATTGACAGGACAAGCACGTGGACTTCGTGTGAACTTGAAGCAGGAAAATAAAAACGAGTATGACTGTCAAACAAATGGATATGATTTGTTGATTAAAAAAGTTACTTTCACTGTCTGATATATTTAGAAAAAAAAGTTTTTTGTTTGATATAGGTACAAACATTTGGTGAAGCCTGAAAGGAGGGGGGGGGCTAAAACTGAATAGTACTCTCTCTCTCTCTCTCTCTCTCTCTCTCATTTGTCTGTTTAATAAAAACTATAACACCATATTACTTAAATATCATGTTCTGAAAATTGAATTCATAACAAATAATATGAATATGTATCTTTGTATCATCTTGTCCGAGTATAATCACGGCCATCTAGAGATAGACGTCTGCTCAATAAATCATAATGAAAAATAGAAATGAAACATAATATATTATTGTATTAAAAATCTACAATACGAGCGTATAAATGTAATTATTTTTTATTTCATTACTTTACACGAAATCGCCTTGACACAGAGATATATATATGAATATAAGTTACAGCCGCTTTAATTCATTCTATAAATCATAAGTTTTCTCTGATTTGTTATCAAATAAGAATAAACATTTTTATTTTCCAGCTAAAAACAATATCTTTTAAACTTCAGCGTTCGGCAACAATTGCAATGTTTTAATGCGATAAAAATCGTGTGATTAAAAACTTAATGTGCATGCATCGTCTTTCTTAGGACAATTTTGGAGAATTTATTTTATTGACTTATTTATTCATTCATTAATTTGTTTACTTATTTATTATTTGTTTGTTTTTGTTTTTTGATTTTTTTTTTTTTTTTTTGGGCACCTGACATTATAATACAATAAAATAGTTTCAATGCAAGGAAAAGATCAGAGGCATTCCGAATATATCGTTCATCTTGCGTTCACCGTTCGTTCACCGTTCACTTTGCGTTCGCGTTTGCGCTCCATTCGCGTTCTGCGTTCGCTCACCGTTCACACATCGTTCACCAAGTTGCGTTCAGCGTTCACACATCGTTCACTCACCGTTCGCTCTGCGTTCGTTCACCGTTCGTTCAGCGTTCGCTCACCGTTCAAGTGGGAAAGTAGAACGTTTCAGGGACTGTAGCTTCCCTACACTGAACTCATTACCGTATATACTTGCCTATAAGTCGGTCCGTCTACAAGTCGGTTGTATTTTTTAAGCTTACATTAAAGGGATTGACCCACTATAATTCCAATTTTTTTTTTATAACTCACCTATAAGTCGGACAGGGGTTTTTGGACCAAAGTTTAACTCCCCAAAAAACCGACTTATAGGCGAGTATATACGGTAATTAATCTTTAACTGGATGCATGTCCACTCATTACTCTCAACGGATGAATGGATCTATACATACTATCTGCTTTGCAGTGCAATAAAAATGCATATTTATGTCATTCTGAAATTAAATTTGAAAACAAAGATTTTTTTTAATTTGTTACAAAGATTTATGAAAAGAAACAAAAAACTTGTGTAATCTTGATGCAACATTTTTAATAAGGTTCCTGCATTACTCTTAGATTTGTAGGGACTATCTACCGTAATTAAAACATTTTTTTAAAATACTTGATTTTTTTTAGATTTAATGTCAGACTGGTTTTAAGCTGCAATTCATAAGGACAACGGGCAGTCTGATTCCAATATCAACCCCTCTCTCCCGAGTATAATTAGTTTTAATTATATTATACAATATCAAATAAGTTTATTATACAATATCAAATTAATACATTATACAATACCAAATAAGTTTTAATTACTTTTCACCAAATTCATTTTAAAAGTTAGGCTAGCCAACTATTTAATCCAACAGACTGATTCTTTTTGCCCAGTTCCCAAGAGATATAGATAACACCTGCTTGATCAGAGATGTTCTACCAGTTAGCTCCTCACACTAAACTCATTTAATTTCTCTCTAATTTGACATGCAATTTTCTGTTATCAAATTCTCCTTGACCAGTGCTTGATAATTACACCCCTGGGAGAGGTGGAATTTCTCTTGTAACATTACATTTGTTATAGATTGCTGAAAAGTATATAATGAAAAAAAGAAGTATTTTCTTGATTTAACATTTTTTTTTAATAAGGATACTGCAACACTCTTGCATTTTTTGGGATTGTGTAATCTAATAGTAAAAAGACAGTTTTTTTTAAATTTCACTTAAATTAAAGGTCACAGTGACCTTGAAATAGGTTGCGACACACCTTCTACCTAAGATGCATAAATTGGCCAAGTTTGATGATTCTAAGTCTAATAGTTTTCTAGTTATGAGCCAGACAGGATATTTCCATATTTGGCCATAACATCTTAATTAAAGGTCAGAGTGACCTACTTTAAATGTGTGACACACCTTCTACCCAAGAAGTATCAGCTGACAAAGTTTGATAATCCTAGGCCTAATAGTACAGGTGACTCTCGATCTCTCGAAGTTCAAGGGACCGCAAGAAAAGTTCGAAAGATCGAGGGGTCCGAGAGATAGAAAGTGAATAAAATCTGGAATTTTCAGTTCCAATCATCATTGTTCTACTATTATAAATACCGGAAGCACATGTCGAAAATGTCATTGCACGTTTTCATTCGTATTTTACAGGTAATTCACTACAATGATCGTATTTTGAATAAATAAAACGATCTCTTTAAGTTTCAGTATTTATTTGTTCTCATTTCATGATTACATGAAACCTGAATAGCAATCGTCGGTGTGGCTACCCCCAGGGCTTCATTGTGTCCTTCACCAGATTTCTCGTATTAAATGGGTATTCAGTTCTTCAGATAGGATTTCTTGTGCAGTGTTTGTCATACTGGGATTACGTAAATTCTAATAAACCTTCATAATCTATGAAAAATTATTGACACGTCTCTTAAATTATTTTCTAAAAATTATCGTCTCGCTGTCAAGTCAAAATAAGTTGTGAAGCAATTCGTTTATAGTTTACCAATTGTAACCAATTAATTATATCAACACTCGGATGCTCACAGGTATAGTGTCATCTATGTAAACACCCAATTAACACCTACATGCCAGCCCGAGGCGTTCACCGTTATCCAGGTAAGTCCAAGCTGCATTAATTTTACGCTTGATTGGCGTGCACACGCACAATCAAAACTTCGAGAGATAGAGAGTAAAAAACGATGAAATGTGTATTACGGGACCCAGGTCTTGGTTCGAGAAATAGAGAACTTTGAGAGATCGGAAGTTCGAGAGATAGGAAGTTAATTTGCTTAGTTATATAGAAGAAAAAAACGGGAGCGGGGGTTCACTTTGAGAGATCGAGAACTTCGAGAGATCGGAGTTAGAGCCATCGAGAGTCACCTGTATTAAAGTTATGAGCCGGACACGAAAAAAGCTAACAGACAGACGGACGGACATGAACGCCATAACATAATACGTCCTGTCTAAAGACGGGCATATAAAAATCATTTAAACAACTCTGTCTATAAGCGATATGTATGGGAAAATTAAAACCCCTATTATGTAGTTTTTCTCTTATAACCGGAAGTTGTCGTTTTTTGTTACGGGTGGGACCAACACATATCGAAACTGTGAAAAAGATACAATTATATGATGCAAGTCTTATTCCAAAAGAGAAAAGTTGAAATTTTCAATTTCTTTAATCACTTCCTGTGATGACCGGAGTGATGGCTGACGCTCTTAACCCTAATGGTTTTGTCTACTCCTCAAGGTCTAAAACTCCTATAAGTTTGGTGTCTAAATCTGTTACCGTTTCTGAGATCTCTCTCAGACAAGTTCTCATTTTGCGGACATTTAAATGCACGACGGGAAGTGAATTTTACAAAGATAATTGACGTTACTCTAGACATTTGCAGTCTTGATAACATATTCAATTAAGTGCCCCGCCACAGCATGATTCGCCCGTCAAATATTGTTCAATTATCATAAACAGTTCAGGGTGCAAGAAAATCATGTCAACCTTAATTCAAAGATTTCCATGATTTTTCCATTCCTTATAATATTTGATGTTTATACATTTCCTGAAGTGCAGGCACTAATTATAATAAATTTCTCAACTGGTTGTGTTAGACCTTGACAAATGCCCATCTGCAGCCCCCCCCCCCCCCCCCCTCTTTCATATTTATTTGATATTTTCAAAAAATTAGATAAAAAATATCATATTAAACAATATCAAAATATTCTTAACAATTTAATCTATACCAAATTAATTTCGAAAATAAAAGGCTGGCCATCAAATGACATATGCTATAAACTAACAAGCAGTTTTTCTCCGTCTAATTCCCGAAGGATACAGATAAGAGCTGCTTGATCAGAGACCCTCTAACAGAAATGATTGAGACAGCTAGTTTTCCTATACATTGAACTCATTAATTATAATCTTTAACTGGATGCATGTCCATTCATTACTCCCAAGGGATGAATGGATCTGCACTATCTGCTTTAATAGTCTGTATTGTAATAAAAATGCATATCTATGTCATTCCATTGAAAAAAGAGGTTTTTTTTAACTTGTTACAAAGATTTATGAAAAGAAACGAAAACTTGTGTAATCTTGATGCAATATTATTAATACGGTTACTGCATGACTCTTAGATTTGTAGGAACTATCTACCATAATATTGATAAAACATGCTTTTTTAAAAATACTTGATGATCTTTTTGAGATATAATGTCAGACTGGTTTAAGCTGCAGTTCATATTGACAGACAAACCGACATGCTGATTCCAATATCCCCCCCCCCCCCCCCCCCCCCGGGTATAATTAGTTTTAATTATATTATACAGTATCAAATAAGTTTATTATACAATATCAAGTTAGTTTTAATTACTTTTCACCAAATTCATTTTAAAGTTAAAAGGCTAGCCAACTAGATTCATCTAGTCCAACACTGATTCCTTTGCCCAATTCCCAGGAGATATAGATAACACCTGCTTGATCAGAGATGTTCTACCAGTTAGCTCCTCACACTAAAGTCATTAATTTCTCTCTAATTTGACATGTAATTTTCTGTTATCAAAATTCTCCTTAACCAGTGCTTGATAATTACACCCCTGGGAGAGGTGGAATTTCTCTTGTTACATTACATTTGTTATAGATTGCTGTAAAGTATATAATGAAAAAAAGAAGTATTTTTCTTGATTTAACGTATTTTTTAATAAGGATACTGCAACATTCTTACATTTTTGGGAATTGTGTAATTTCATAGTATAGAGACACAGTTTTTTTTTTAAATTTCACTAAATTAAAAGTCACAGTGACCTTGAAATAGGTTGCGACACACCTTCTACCTAAGATGCATATATTAGCCAAGTTTGATGATTCTTAGTCTAATAGTTTTCTAGTTATAAGCCAGACAGGATTTTTCCATATTTGGCCATAGCATCTTAAATAACGGACAGAGTGACCTACTTTTAATGCGCGACACACCTTCTACCCAAGACATATCAGCTGACAAAGTTTGATAATTCTAAGCCTAATAGTATTAAAATTATGAGCCGGACACAAAAAAGCTAACAGACGGATGGACGGACGGACATGAAGGCTATAACATAATACGTCCCGTCTTAAGACAGGTGCATAAAAATCAGTTCAAATACATTATCTATAACAAATATTTATGGGAAAGTAAAATACACAAATTATGCAGTTTTTCGCTTATAGCTGGAAGTTGTCATTTTTGTTTCTGGTGGGACCAACATACTTCAAAACTACAAATAAGATGAAACAATGTGATGCAAGAAAAAAATCAAAAACAAAAAGTTGAAAATTTCGATTTCTATGATCACTTCCTGTGAAGACCGGAAGTGACGGTTGACGCTCTTAACCCAAATGGATTTGCCTACTCCTCATGATCTATTATTTCTATAAGTTTGGTGTCTTAATCTCTTACCGTTTCTGAGATATGACTCGGACAAAATATTTTTGATAAAAAAAACAGAAATCGGACATATCTGACGACCGGAAATGAATTTCGAAAAAATGAAGAAGAAACGCCTGAGGTTATTTTTATTCTCTATCATCCCTGAAAATTTCAAGAAAATCTGTCCAGCCCATATCTGAGAAATCGTCCCGACCTGAAAAGGGGAAAAAAAAACAACTAGATACTTATTGCCTAGGCAATAACAGGTCTTCCGTTTTCTTGATTCTTTGAAGAAAAAAAACCCACCAAAGTCTTGTCAACAAGATTACGCTTAATGATTAACAAAAGTTATCTTAAGGCTTCCACAGATATATAAATACAAATAAAAACTGGTAAACTAATTGTCCCGTGTACAATTAGAGGCCTTTCCACCTTTATAAGTGTTTCCGTGTCAATTAGTTTGAAAAAATAGAAGAAAAATGCCAAAAAAAAAAAATGTTCTCCAGCAGGGATCGAACTCAAAACCCTTGAATTGAAAGACAGGTCACTAACCATTAGGCTACGCATTACGATAACATTAATAAGTTAAATTGTTTAGGACTAGAATAAATGCAAGTATTTTTAGAATCAGTAGGGGAAGAAAGAAGTTCTGTAAAAGGAAATAGTTCCTGAACTTGCAAGCAGTGTATAAAATAAGGTAATAAAGTCCATTACATGTGCATGATGTTATTTATAAATACAACAAACACATAAAACAAAATTTTATCTAGACTTTCTGTCCTGACAACATAAATGCTGTCAACATAAAACAGAATACAAACTTCGTCAGTTCCATGCCTTTCCATTAGCAGCAATTAGTGAACTTCGATGCCGATCGAATGTACTCAATTACATAGCAATCTATATCGGGATCGAAGTTTGGTTTTTATGTACTGTTTCCATCTTAAAGTACCTGTAAACTTTCAACAGTCGTTCTTTTAAATATTTAGAGACTTATTTACATAAAAATGCACTTGTCCAATCAGACAAGTGCCCAGCAATATTCACTTATCCGTATTTTTTTTCACTGGTACCGGACAAGCGGACAAGCATTAATGTTGAGCCCTGTAAGACTCACCGTAAAACTTTCAAGAACGTTTCTCTGAGGTCAATACTACATTTGTACCAAATTTGGTGTCGATCCAAGGTCTGGTTTGAATTCAAGAGAAATATTCCACGTTGCTCTTGATGTGATTTTTTTTTTTTTGAAAAGGGGGGGGTAAATTATTTATTTTCTGCCTCTTTTGAACTTAGAATTGTAACTACTTCCTCATCCTTAGGCCTGATTGTGACCTTTGGGTCAAGGTCAAAGGTCAAGGTCATTAAAAAAAGAAAAGAAAAAAACCCACAAATCTTTACTTTCTTAGTTTTAACCTGATACTGGAGGTGGATGCCCTTACTTTTATATTTGATTCAAGGTCAAGGTCGTGAAAAACGGAAATAACTCTTTACTTTCTATGTGTTT